CGTACAGCTCGGCCACGTCACTCAGCTTTTTCAGCTCGGCTTCAACTTTCTCAACTACCATCGACGGACACTCAAACCCGTATCGCTTGAAAATCTCGATGGCGTCTAGTTGCCTCTCCAACTTAGCACGGGATGTAATGTTGACATCCACCTCCTCACGCTGGGCCTTGTACGCCCGCATCTTCCTCGTCAGCTGAAGGTAAAAACTGGATACCGACCTCCGGACTTGGGCCGCTATCGTTATAGCCCAATTATCCCGGGCCTCGACAAGAGTCTGCTTCTCGGATTCAAATTTCCTCAGGGATGAAGTCAGCTCGGCCGTAAGAGACTTGTTCTCTTCGTCCTGTGACTTCACTCGAAGTTCGAAATCAGCGATCTTCGCCTTCATCCCGGCCATCTTTTTCTCCTTCGCCTTGGCAGCATCGGTTAACTTCTGCTCGTTTAGAAGGCTCTTCTTTAGAGCGCGGTCGTACCGCTTGACCACCGCAGTAGAGATATTTTTTGCCTGCAAAACGGAACGGGATCAACTATCAGTAAATATAACGTAAACCACGGAAAGCCCGAGTACGAAAAACAGGGACACTTTACCCGAGTCTCTGCTGAATCCATGAGAACGAAGTCATCCTTGTAGTAGACCTCGTCCATCTTGCAGGACGGGAGGGGTAGACTTTTCATCTCCCGCGCTTGTCGAGCACAAGACATCTCATCCATGTGAGTTGGCTTCTTGCCCCGATAATCGAATTCGAAGGCATACTTGCTCGGGCAAGATGCGGCTTTTCGCATCTTAGCGACAGGTTCAGCGCCAACCTTCACCGTTTCCTGCACCGGGAGTTTGGGATCTTCAGCTCCTAGCCCAGGATCTCCGATCCTTAGCCTCTCCAGGTTAATCTCGGTCCGGGCTTTTTCTTCAGTCTGGGCTGTCTCCTGCGCGGCTTTGGCCTTCCTTTTCTCAGCCCTCTTTCGCTTTAACGTCTTCTTGACAGCGGCTTCATCCGAAGCCTCCTTCTCGACTTCCTGATGAACGGGATCGATATTATCCTAAACCTCGGCTCCCGAGTCTGGGACCCCATCCGGAGGATTATCAGCCCGGGTCAGGTTGATCTCGGGATTGTTCGCATCCGAGACAAGGGTCTCACCCGTCCTCTGCTCGACGTCCCTACCACTCGCAGCCAACAAAGACTCCTCGAGTTCTTTGGTGAAGTCCCTTGTCTTCCTTGGCTTGATCAGCATTTTCTTTGATTTTCAACAAAGAATACCTGACACAACAAAGTTCATTAGCCCGGCAATATCTCTTAAGATCGGGGGGTATTCGTTTAACCTACTTACAGCTCTTGAAACCCGTTCGATGGTAAACTGCAGCCAACTCTCGTGGCTTAATCTCTGAAAGGCATTCCTGTGCTCGAAGAAACCTTTTGCAGGAGGCTTGATCGGGGTTACCGGCGTTGCTACAAAACAAAACCAATTGAAATTAGAACGGGATTGAATAAACGCGTTCTACAGCTAAAGATCGTCTAGCTACCAATCACATCAGCCCATCTAGTTAGGATTGGGACGTCTGTATCAACTACGGTGTTCTCGTCAATCTTCACGAAGAAATAACAGTCTCGCCAGTTGTCAATCTTCTTCGACGATTTCTCGGTGACTATGATCAGTTTCCTCTTCATGCTAACATAGAACGAACCCCGGTTCTGAGTATTCCTCCCTTGAGGCTTGATATCGGTCATCTCCTCGAAGATGTCAATAGTAAACGGCAGCCCGTGCTCCTGGACAAGGACCGTCAAGCTGACCACATGACGAATGCAGGCATGCGTAGTCTGCGAGATCGGCATCCCTCTCCTCGCGCAGTACTCCAGAAGAACCTGTGGCAGTGGGAACCACAGATGAGCGTAGAGGAAGAAATGTTCAAACAGACATATGTAGCCCGGTGGTGCATCCCAAGGCCTTTGCTCGGGACTCGGGACCATGACTTTGATCTCGGGCTTGATCCTGCACACTTCCTTTAGCAAGTTCAGTGACTTCCACGTAGTACAGGACCGGATTACACCAAAGGTGTTGTCACAAGCCGGGGCATTCTTCTTGGACAGCCTCAAGTACTTAAACGAAGCTGGCGTATACTTGTCGAGAATCCCGTTCTTCCACGATTCCTCTGAAGCCCCGAGGATTACAGGCTCGGGTTTGATCTAGGCATCATCCCGATCGGCTAAAACATTAGCGCTCCCGACCTCATCATCGTCGCCTCGATCAGACACATTGACGGCACTCCCGGCTTCGTCTGATTCATCTCTCAGCTCGGGTATCTCAACTGGAACCCGTACCGTCGATGGCCCGGTGTCGCCCCGAGCCACGAAACCTAACTGACCCTCCTCGAAGCGCCTCGCCGCATGCTCCTGCTGGTCTCTCTTCATCTCGACATAATTTACTCCCATCGCCCGCGCAAACATTCGACCAGATTTATCCGATCCCGAGCTAACACTGCCCACCGACTCGACCGGCGAGGAGACCACTTTCTTTCCTTTCGACGATTTGCGAAGACTCATCTTTACCAACTTAACGTTCCTGACCTAAACCTGACAGGTAGCACGGGCTTTTGCTAGCTGTACGGGCTTCTACAGAGGCCCCGATCTATCCTAGGACTATCAGACCTACAGAACAAAAACTCTAGAGAGAGAAAGAAGAGAGAAGGGAGAGCGAACCTGATTCGGAGATTTTTACGAGAAGAGGAAGTAGAGAAATGAAGACTCTCACCCCCTTTTTATACGAAATCGAAAACGGTTTTCGAGAAATCCGTAATCATTGCGACGGTTCGTATTTCTCGTGCTTAAATATATTTGAAAAGTTGACACATGTCACGTCCCAGAAGACGAGGAGACTATTCCGGCTCGAGGCGGCTTATGAACCCGACTTATTATACGCGATTCGCAACCCGGCCTGTAATGAGGCCCGGTCTAATACACGCAGTCCCGACCTACCTTACACGGTTTAAGTCCCAATCTTGAATCGTACCAATCAGGAGTTCGTGTAGATTAATGTAGCTTTCGGGTATCCCGTGCTTCGAAATGCCCCGATCTCAATTTATACCGAGCTTCCTTTTTCTTATGTTCTCCTACCTGCTACTCAGATCATCGAACTGGGGGGGGGGGGGGGGGGGGGGGGGGGGGGGGGGGGGGGGGGGGGGGGGGGCTAATTGTTAGTGATGGTTTTAGCACTCCTTGCTAAAAGCCCTTCATAAATTGAGAAGAGGCCCATTTGAAACTCTACCTCCGCCTCCGGAGTTAGGTCGGCGCTCAAATATTGAAATATCCGAGGATATATTCGAATCGCGGAAGAAAAGGAATGAGAACCCCGAAAAGAAAAAAAACTATCCTTATCCCGAGGGTGAAGAATTCGATTCAAGGCGGTCTACGAAGACTATATAAGAAGAGCCCCTTCTTTCGAAGATCATTCATTCACAAATCGGACTCGAGACTTAGGACAAATAATAGCTTCTTGCTTCCTACTTTAGATCTCGATTCTTTACTCTCAAATTTTAGGTCGGCGCTCAAATATTGAAATATCCGAGGATATATTCGAATCGCGGAAGAAAAGGAATGAGAACCCCGAAAAGAAAAAAAATTATCCTTATCCCGAGGGTGAAGAATTCGATTCGAGGCGGTCTACGAAGACTATATAAGAAGAGCCCCTTCTTTCGAAGATCATTCATTCACAAATCGGACTCGAGACTTAGGACAAATAATAGCTTCTTGCTTCCTACTTTAGATCTCGATTCTTTACTCTCAAATTTTAGGTCGGCATTTTTTTCCGACAACCTAAAACCTTGTACACTTTTAGTTCCGGTTAATAATAAAAACAGCTTTATCTTTTCCCCATAAATCTTTATATTTTTTCTTAGGGAGATATTTAGATCCTACAAGCTTGTTAATGTTATGAGAAAAATTAGTGTAAGAAAATTCATATAAAACAATAATTCCTGTCAATTATATTTTCTCTTAAACTGAACCGTAAACCAGATGAAAAATATAAGACAAACATATAATTAATGATTTCTAATACTCAAATACATTTAAGCACTTACGTACGGAGAAACATAACCGTGAGATGTCATACGTGAGAAACAAATCTAATACCCTGAGAGAAAAAAGCGATAAGTTCGCGGTAAAACAGCTAAAAATAGTGAATATTCAAATTTATAATATAATATCTTTAATGAAATAGATTCATTATTGTAAAAGATTACGTGTATGCATTATAGAGTTAATTCTTGACTTAATACGTGTATTTGTTTTTGCCATCAAGATGAATTTGTAGCTCGAAGTAAGCAAGTAGGGGTTTTTTTTATCCTCTTGAATTTGAATACAAGAAAACGAAATTCAAATTTGTGTAACTGTATTTGCTGTTTAATTACTAACTATCTCTTTTCAAATGCTATACAATAAATGTTTTTAAAAATGAACAAATCTGAAAACCGAAGAGACTTATACTAAACCGATATTCGTATTGTTTTTATATGGTTTCAAATTTTATGAATAATTTGTATCCGTTTACAAAGAACCACGTGAGACATATGGACTTCCAAATGAAATTGAATAACGATGCTCAGATCACACTTTCAAATATTTAAAATCAACAAATAAAGCGTATGATGCTGCCGAGTCAACTATTAGGATATCGTGATTGTCACGCTCCAGCCATATTCTAATATTAATATCCCAAAACAAAAAAAAAACAAGCAAATATACAGCCGAGTCAATTATTAGGATCGTGCTTATCACGATCAATCCTCTCAGTTATAAGGGATATGATTTGTTTAATATACCTCGTGCCAAAGAAAATGTAATTTAAAATTTCTACTAGAATAGTAAAACCGAAACCCTTCTAGCGTCGCACTTATGAATAGGACCAATAGCGTTTTAGTCGTGAGTGTAATTATTAAATACTAACCTAGCCTAGATTTCTGTCGCTATAAATAGTCTTAATATTTATCAAACAATGTGATAATTAAGAGGCAATATGTCGATCTCCGGCGCCGGTAATGAGACCGGAACCACACTCACCGATGATGTTGTCGAGTGTTCTGTGGATTTCAGAGGCAAGCCATCCGTCAGATCATCTTCCGGTGGATGGAGATCATGTGGTTTCATCATCGGTACGTAACTGATCTTTGTTTTCCCCAACATTCTCAAATTTTCCCGCTAATTGCTTTGTAAGAAAAAGAAAGAATATTCCGGCAGGTGCTGAAGTGTCGGAGAAATTCGCCTACTACGGGATAGCCACAAATCTGATAACCTACTTCACGGGGCCGTTAGGGGAATCAACGGCGGCTGCAGCGTCAAACGTCAACCTCTGGGTCGGAACGGCAGCTGTTTTGCCTCTCTTTTGGGGTTCTATCGCCGGCTCGTTTCTTGGCCGTTTCTGTACCATCCTCGTAACATCCTCTCTCTATATCTTGGTAAATAACTATTAAACTTCCTCCTTTTTTATTAGGGATTGAGTAGACTAATTAATGGAACGCGAGGCTTAATCTCAATAAAATGTCTGAGTCTCACGTCAGAAGTTAAGAGTGTGACACTCCTTACAAAACATCAAATTTAGTGTGATTTCAACACCAATATAGTGTTGTGGTTGGAGATGCCCTTACAGCACATTTAAAAGCAAAAGTTTTTCTCATCGTCTCTCTCTTATATACTACTAATATAATTTATTTGTTTAATTAAAATTAAAATTATATAATCCAAGAGCTAATTATTAATTGACATCTGGTGAAAACTGTTTTTAAGAGCATTTCCAACCTTAAGAAATTGTAAAGGTATTTTTTTAAAAAAATTAATTTTTAAATTATGAAAAAGTCTAAACCAATCATAAGATGGCATATGTTAAATGAGTTTCTTAAAAATATAGAAACTGTTCTCAACTAAACAATTTAAGAAGCAATCCTTGTTTCTCTTTCTTACTTTTTATTAGTTTATTATTTTTTTTTAACTGGATTCCTATTAAACTTAACATTTTTCATGTCGAGTGCTCCAAATCTAATATTACACCCTGGATAAGAGAAATGAGTGAAACCAATTTACTCATTAGTTGGTTTTATGTTGCAAGTTCATGATTGTTAAACGATCTCTAATATTTGGGTACAATCTTGACTTTAGGGACTTGGACTGCTTACGTTTTCAACGACCATTCCTTCTCTCAGCAAAGATGAAGAAACACTGGTCTCGTGCGTTTCTCAGGTCAAAGTAACAATCTTTTTCTGTGCCCTTTATCTAATAGCAGTCGGAGAAGGTGGCTTCAAGGCATGTCTTAGAGCTTTTGGAGCAGATCAGTTTGATGAACATCACCCTGAAGAATCCAAAACCAAGAGCTCGTACTTTAACTGGTTGTATTTTGCGATAGCTTTTGGCATATTCAGTACTCGTTTTGTCTCTAATTACATCCAAGAGAATCTGAGTTGGGCTTTAGGATTCGGGATCCCGTGTATTTCCATGATGCTTGCTCTGTTCTTCTTCTTACTTGGAACCAACACTTACCGCTTCAGAACCGGAGGAGAAGGAAGAAAGCAAAATAACCCTTTTGTTAGAATTGGCCGTGTTTTCCTCGCCGCGGCTAAAAACCGGCGACAGACTTCTTCAGACAGTTCCCTTCTTCTGCCTATCGATAATTCGAAGAAATTCAGGTAATACAAATAGTAGGTTTACATGTTTTATTTGTTTGTTTTTACGTTTATATTGCGTTTCCTTTTTCCAGATGAAATCACCATTTTAATTATTCAGTCATTTTTGTTTATGTAAATTTTAAATAAAATTTTGTTGCCGCTTCGGCAGTTAGGTTGAAATCTTCATAAAATTATACTAAAAATGTCCTATTCAAAAAGAAACATGTATTTAAACCAATAAGAAGTTGTTTCTTTAACAAAAACCAATCGGAAGTTGCTTTCTTTACAAGTTAGGTTAAAAAGGCTTTAAATGATACAATCTTTGGCTGCAGATTCTTGGACAGGGCAGCGATTTCGTGCGATTCATCTGAAGTTGAGGAAGCAAGAGCTGTGTTAAGTCTCCTTCCAGTTTGTATGTGTTGTTTGGTATTTGGCATTGTGTATGCGCAAACTTCTACTTTCTTCACAATGCAAGGGTCCACAATGAACAGATCAATCTCATCAAGACTCTTAGTCCCTGCAGCGACACTCCAGTGCTTCGTAAGCCTAACAGTCATCGTCTCCATCCCAATATATGACCGTTTATTCGTTCCATTCGCAAGATCAATCACTCGTAAACCAGCAGGAATCACGACGCTACAGAGGATTTGCACCGGTGCTTTCCTCCTAATCCTTTCGATGTCGATAGCTGCTTTGGTCGAGATGAAAAGACTCAAGACCGCTCGGGATCACGGGCTAGTAGATTCGCATAAAGCCACGGTCCCAATGAGCATTTGCTGGCTGATTCCGCAGTACGTTCTCCATGGAGTCTCTGAAGTTTTCGCTATGGTTGGTTTACAAGAGTTCTTATACGGACAGGTTCCGGTCGAGCTTAGGAGCTTGGGACTGTCTCTGTACCTAAGCGTAATCGGCACAGGATTCTTCTTGAGTAGTATCATGGTTTTGGTCATTGAGAGAATCACGAGCCAGTCCGGTCAAGTGAGCTGGTTTGCTAATAACCTGAACCAGGCACATCTTGATTACTTCTATTGGCTACTTGCTTGTCTCAGCTCCATCTCCTTCGTTTCCTTTGTCTATTTCTCCAAGTCGCACGTCTACAACATCCAAACCAAACTCTCTGAAGATCTGGAGGAATAAAGTTAAGTGAAATGAAATAATCTGAATGAAAAGAGTGAGAGAGAACAAAATGAGTTGTGCCAAGCCAAGTAGCAATGAATGGCTTCTTTTTTTAATTTTTTGGTTCAACTTATATCTCTTTTGAAGTGGTATACAAAAAGAAGATATTTTGCAGCCGGTAGCAAACTATAACATGTATACCCTCTTCGTTTTCTTGCGGCATGTTAGAGACAAGCGACCAAAAAGATTATTAAAAGGCGGAGAAAAATTTCAACGTCACGTTTCTCACTTCCGGCGACGTCTATTTAGCTGTCGCAGAAGCCAACTGTTATTTGGCTACATTTATAATATATCGAACGCCAGCATCTTGTTGTATACAATCTTGCGCTCCAAGCAACATATTTATTTATACATTTAAGTTTCATCTTCAAATATTTTCCCATTTTTTTATCTATAAACATAGAGGTTTTCAAAGTACAAAATAGGGTTGTTCCAATATTTTCTTTTAATATTCTAAAAGTATCCCATTTCTATTTAGTTTTTAGTTTTTCATTAAAACAATTACTTCACAAATATCCAAATTTTACCCTTTTATTTTATGAGTTTGGCAAGTATATAATAAAACATAATTTTATCAAAATTAAAAAAGTTTACCATGAAAGTAAAATTTTATTACAGAACTAAGTACTGTTGATATAACTTTATTTAAATATAAAACATCTAACTTTTGTTTAGATACAAAATCAAAACATATCAAGATTAGATATAACATTTCTAAACGAACTAAACATCAAACATGGTCCGAGATGTCTTTAATTTCGAACCGCATCATATGAGTAAGTGAGAAAAACGAACTCCAAACACTATTCACTAAATGGGGTCTTATAGCAAAGATGCATCGAAGAAAAGGAGAGTTGGTGTATTACTTTAAATTTTTGGCTTGAATGGAAGTGGAACTACATATGATTTAAAGGGAATAAATTTGCATGAATATACTTTTTTGTATCGCTTCAATTTCGAACAAAAATGCACCTTTCAAGATTCAGATTGTATATGTGTTCCTGTCTTATATATAATTATATATTTATGTGGAGAATGAAAACACAGTTATACGATGAACCTTGTAAACCAGCAGGACGTGATATGGGGTAGGGTTTGTTGTAAAAAACTTCTTCTAACTTTATAGGCGTTTATGTAATCATTAGTAATTGTAAATGTTGATTAGTTAAATTAAGTTATGTTTGTATGGCAGTTAAATACTGACGACCCAGAATTCTATGCTCGTTAAAGAGTGAAATCAGGCCTAGTACTCCAAGTCAGACCATGAGTAATGGAGAATTGGGCAAAAAGCTCTTAAAATTTTTATAGTATTAAAAAAATATTAATTTTTTTCGAAAAAAATCAATTTTTTTTAAAAAGAAATTGACAAATTACATTTTGACACGTCAGCACAGAGTCACTCCTCCGTCCCTGCGCAGAGAAAGACGCTTCTGCATTTTGGTCTCGCCATGTCATTACAAATTTTTTTTTTTTTCTTAGAACTTCAGAGAAGCTCTCCATTACTTATGCTCTCAATATTTTTACCACGATAAAGAGTTCACATCGAAATCCAACATTAAAATTTAGGGTAGTCCCAATAGATCAAGGAAAGTCAAACCAAGGGATCGATAATGCTCAGAGTCGATTTTGAGGACATACTAAAGAATCAATACAACAATAGCCTTTGTGTCTTTCCAAAGAAGGACACATCAGTATTTTCAAAGTTTCTTAAGCTGACACATCAGCATAAATGAAAAACCAATCAAAATAAAACATTAATACACATCATATAATATTATTTGACATATAGATAAATTTTTTTTTTTCAAACCCATAAAAAAATCCACTAACTAACAAAAACATATTAATTCGGGAGAATTGGCAAAATCCATTATTTAAGTTTTTAAATTTGAAGAGTACACTGTTAGTTAAATTTTTAAAAATAACACTTATTTAATATTATATAAAAACAAATAAGTTTTTCTTTACCTAGCTTAAAAGAGATATTACATATTTTAATAAATTAAAATTAAAATTCGAAATTATTAATATTAATTTATTTGAGAAATTTAAAATTTGAAATTATTAATTATAATAATAATTTATTTTAGACAATTTTAAATTCGAAATTATCAATTTAAATATTTGAAAATTCATCTCTAACAAAAACAAATAGTTTACTAGTGTATTAATTAAATGTTTTTTAACTATAATTATTTTGGTCCATCATAAAATTTGTAAGAGTTAGATCTAAATATAATTTAGTAAAAGACCAAATCAAATGATATATGAACTGCAATGATGATTCAAATTCCAAAATCATGTGTCTTCATTCTTTTATTCATTTTTATATATTTATTTATCTTTTTAATTAAAATATTAATCAAATTCCAAAATCAAGTGTCTTCATTCTTATCTTCATTTTATCTATTTATTTATATTTTAATTAAATATTTAAGGTATTACTAATTTTTAGTTAGATTAATCTAGACATTTTACTAAAAAAATTAAGCATAGTTAAAAAAAATGAACAATGGTGTAGTTTTCAAAATACAATCTCTTTTGAAGGTATTTTTCCAAATTTTCTCTATTAATTAATACATCAATTTAATGGATTAGTTTAAGATTACCTAAATTTAGTCGTAACACTGATAATTAGTTTTCAAGATTAGAAACTGCTACATAGGTATGCATCAATATAAAATCAGTGTAGTAGTGTTTGAGTTATATACTTATATTATTTCATCCATAAACTACATACTATATCTTCATTATATATACGATAAAATATATAATTAATTCTATCAAATCTATCTGTAGCACAGCCGTGAAGGTCTGAACATCACCACACACTCCTTCTAAAGAAATAGAGATACAATATAGGACGGAGTGGAATTTTCAACATAGCCTAAGGTGATCAAGGATATATATTTACAATCATATCTGGTAAATGAGGAATCCATGTGCTTACAATCGTATCTGGTAAATGAATCGTTTATAAAAGAACTTGACGTTGATTAAATTTTAGTAAAAGAACTTAGATTGAACTTCACCAAGTTGGACATGGTATCCTATTCACCAAATTTATGTTCACATATTAAAGATCAGTTTATAATATATATATATATATATATGTGTGTATATGTGAACATAAACTTACGTTTTCTAACCATTTCGAAATCAAACAAAAATTGACCGGCGTTAAAAAAAATAAAACCATGGGTTTAGTCGGTTTGGACAAGTTAGTCGATTTAGAACATTTTGCTTACAGGCACCGGTTTCAGAGAATGTCAATTTTGTAACTTTAAAAATAATTTGATTAAATAAAATTTCAAAGAAATGGAGCAAACTTTAGAAAAAGTTAACTCATCGAAAAAGAGGTATATATCATTTGAAATAGAAATAAAATAGTACAATTTTGATGGAAATTTTTTGAAAATATTGAAAGAAAAATTATTTTTTTTATTAGAAATTCATTAAAAATTTACAATTGTAATCGAAGTTAAAGAGCACCAAAAAAAGAAAAATTTGAAAATTGGTAGAAGAAAAATGAACGTTAGATGATAATGGCTGAAAATACTAAAAAATAAGAAAAATGAATGGCTAAGTATGACAATTGATTTATTATCATTTTTGAAAGTAAGAGAGACATGATTTTGTCTAAAAAAGAGAGTGATATGATTATTTATAAGAATAAAAATAATAGAAACATAAGTATTATAAGAAGGGTTTAGTAGAATAAATTAACGAAAATTGAGACAAGAAAGATAAGTCAAAGATAACCAAACTCATTGTGCACTCAATGTAATACTAAAATAGACAAATTACATGGCTATTTAGTTGAGAATGATATCATAGATGATTAAAAGATAGTAAGTTATACCAATGATCGAATAGAAATACGGAGACTAAGAAAGAAATGTGATATTCATAGAATAATTAGTAAAGAGAGCAGCTAAATTATATTCAATAAAAAATAATCTAATTTTGAAGAATATACTGTGAGTAAAAAAAAATGTAAACAAATTCAAATATAAATAGATAATATGTTAGCTTTGAGTGAGGTATGAATAAATGATGTATTTAAATTAAAAAAAAACTTAAAAAATAAATAGATACATTTTTTAATAATGTATAAAAAAATTAGACGCTGTTAGAAAGTTGGAAAGAAATGTAAATTAAACAAAAAATATAATTACATTCTTATTTGATTTTTTTTAACATAATAATTGTTTTTAAAATCTTATATCATTATACAAAAATAATAATAATAATAATAGAGTTATTTACTTAGAATAACCTTTTAAAATCGGTATTGACTAAAATAACATCCTCCTACAACTGAATAACTAAAATAACCTTACAAAGTTGTGCAAAGACATCAAAATCTAAATTTTAGATATAATAACAAAAATGCCATTTTGATTAAAAAATAATCAAAAATAATAAAATTGATAAAAGAAAGATTTTTGGAAAAAAAAAAAAAAAAAACAATAAAACCTAAAAGAATCAGCTCGCGAGGGGAAGAGAAGAGCACCGACGGTGCCCGATTTGAAGAAACCCAAAATCTCCGATTACGGCGGTGAAGAGCACCGATGGTGGAGCAAAGGTAGAGCTCCCGAGCTTCCCGGACCTGCGACGGCGGCGTCTACATCTTCTCTTACGTTCTCACGGGGAACCAATCATATATTTCTTCTCTACATCGCGTCTACATCTTGTCTGAAGAAGTACTTACGGCGGCGTCTACATCTTCTCTTACGGCGGCGTCTACTTACGACAGACAGCGTCCATTTGAGGGCTGCTTTGTTTCACGGCTGCTTTGTTTCACGGCGAGTGAATAGTAAGATCCTTCACCGTTGATTTGTCTCCATTTGTAGATCTATGGTTTTTATTGATGGTAACCTTGGTTTCAGATTTGTAGATCTAGATTAATGTCGAAGTTTTTAACCGAAATTTTGTTTTTATTTAGCAGAATTCCG